CCCGGGCATGCCCACTGCGAGCCCTGACTTTGGCTCAACTCTCGCCGAGCCCCGAGCCCTGCACATATGGGACGATGAGAGCGGTCCCCCATGAGCTCCGAGCCTTTGTCTCTGCCAGGAGAAGGAGGAGGAGGAGGCGCCCGGAGCTGCCCCGCGTCCCCTGAGAGCCTCGCCCGCCCGTGGGCTCCCGCAGGACGATGCTCGCCTGCCTGGCCAGGGGCAGTTTGCTGGATATTCTGCAGGAGGGCTTCACAGAGGTAAAAACAAAAAGAAAAAAAAAAAAAAGAAAAAAAAAATCCAGGTCCCCCAAACCTCGCTTCCCCGCGTGTTCTCGCAGGGGTTGTCGCGCTCCGAGGGAGCGGAGGAGAAGGGGGACCAGGAGTGGAAATTCTGCTGAGTGGAGGCAGCACAGCCTTCCGTGGTGCTCAGCTCTGCTCTGAACCGCGGCCGATCATTCGAATTCAATTCGCCAATAGGGTTGTTTGGGTTTTGTTTGTTTGTTTGTTGCTTTTTATTTTATTTTATTTTTGAGCCGTTTGTGGCAGTTTTACTTCGGGTGCTTTCAGCCCGGAGTTTTTATTCCCTCCCCAGTTGCTTCACTGTGGTACCAGTAAATAATACAAACTGCTGGGGTGGTTTGCTGTGTGGAACTGACTCCTCTCCCGATGTCTGCGAGTCTGAAGGTTGTAAATCTGCTTTGTGGACTCACATTTCTCGGGAGAGGCTGACAAAGAGCAGGCTGGCGGGGTGGTTTGGTGTTTTTTTCCCTCCCCATCTTTTGCTGTAAGTTGAACCTCCACGGGGCTGAAATTCAGCTTGGTCGGGAAAATGTAATTCTTAAAGTGTTTCTTTATTTGCTTATTCTGCCGTTAGGAGGGTAATAAATCATAAAATAAGGAGAAGCAGCAGTTCCAGACGTGGGAATCCTGTAGCTGGGGGGGGGGGGGGGTGTTACAGTGTGATTTCCCTCCTTGAGGTGCACAAAGAATTGGGGTCTTCATGGACTCAGCACAAAATACCAGGGCAGAACACGCTGGAAAGCTGAAAAGGGAGAAAAATTTGGGGGGCTTTTGCTGGAACTAAAGAGTGGCTGCCGTTTGCCTCCTCGCTCGGGAGCAGGGACAGTCTCTTGGGGTGTTTTTTTCTCAGAGCGCTGAGTTTTGTTTGGTGTTGGGTGATTCCTCCTCCCTGCGGAGCTCACGGGGCACGAACATCCCTGCTGGGCTCCACGGGGAAAACAAACTAGGGGGGGGAAACTTGAGCTTCTGAGCTCGGCCCGGGGTCTCCTTTGATCGCCCAGGGTAGCTGGAAATGCTCCATCCCCTCCTCCACAGAGCATCCGTCTCACCCTCAGCCAGCAAAGGGCTTGTTTTAGCTCAGGCTCACACTTCCTGTGCTCGAGGGCAGCAGATGCTGCTCAGGCATAAACTCATAGTGCCCTGTGTACTAATAATTAACACGGTATAGTTAATGAAGGGGACAGGGAACAGCCACGTTCAGTGCCGGCCCCACCCCGGCTGTCTGGTTTTACCCAGCTGGGGAGAAAAACGCCCCTCTCCCCCCGTGAAAACAGATTCCCCCTGGTGTGTCCCACTCCCTGCCACAGCACACGCTGCAGCCTGTAACAAAAGTTGCATTCAGCCCACAGATGAGCTGCTGAGCGAGCTCCTGGGGGTGTGCAGAGCTCAGGTGCATCCCTACACGTGCCTGGCATGGCCCTGTTTCTCCAGGGGTATTGACTGTGTGACTCCATCTCACCAGTTTTGCTCAATAATCCACGCCTGGGAGGTTTCCAAAAGGCAAAAGTTCCTTTTGTTCCTTTGCACTGTTAGCCCCCTCGCTGCCCACCCTCCTGAGCGAGAGCCACCCCAGGCAGCCCAATTACCTCGTAATTAGGGCTGGAGAATGCCCTGTGCTCGTCCCCTCTGCAGCCCAGGCCTGTTGTGCTCCACAGGCCATGTGGCACTGATGTTTTCTCCAGTCACAGCTTGTAAAGGGGGCCCTGCAAGCTGCAGCCTCAGCGCATCCCCCTCCCAGAGCCCCTGGCCAAAACACCCCGCGGGCCCTGTCACCTGCAGCACCCAGGCAGGGGGGTCTGTTTGATGTTTGAAGGGAAGCCCCCCCTGGGCATCACTCCCTGGCTCATGAAGGGGCTGCCCTGCCTTGGAGCTGTGTCCCTGCTGTTTGCCAGGCTCTCACCCTCCTCTGAGATAAATAATTCAGTGCCACAGCTGGATGGTGCCACGGGGCCGTGTGGCTGCTAAAAGCAGCAGTTTATAATGAAAGGAACCACAGAGAGCGGGGTCTCCTCTGCAGAGACTCTGGCCATGTGGCCTCAGCCTGTTCTCCCTCCTCAGGGAAATGCAATTTATTTGAGGTACGTGTTGACACTTCTGCTGCCAGTTCTCTAAAACAGATGGGGCACAAGAGGACTGTGTCACAAACTGCCCTGACAGCTCCAAGGCATCGCTGAGCCTGTGTTTTAACAATAACATGCCTTCTCCCGTTCGAGTCGGAAGATCGTTTCCTCCTGCAGATTTAATTATGTGGTTGCTTGTGTGCAGTGAGTAATTTAAAATAGATATTTGCAACCACCCCTCCCCCGGAGATCACCCTGAACAAACAATCCACTCCAGAGAGGATGTGCTGGCAGGGAATTTTCAGGAGCCCGGGTTTGGTTTGAAATCAGGGTCTCCAAACAGCAGCAAAGCGAAGTCCAGGGTTACCAGCCAAGGCTCTGCCTGGAAGTGGAAATACCTACCCGTTTGTAGGTGAGAGCTGCTGCTCCCCAGGAAGTGCTTCAGGGCAGGCAGGGCTGTGTTCTCTCCCCTGTTCTCACCAGACAGCCCCTAACCAAGTGCTTCAGGGAGTATTTTCCATCAAATAGAGGGTTCCTCCTCTCTGAGTGGCGTCTGCACTGGGTAATTCCTGATTTCCCCCACACACAGTCTCTCCCCTTCTCTCCCCAAGGTTTGCTGTACCCCTCGGGGGACGTGAATTGATGAGATGCCACCCTGCCTCCTTGCCCTGGGTTTGGTTTTGGTTTGCTTTTCTGGCTGGAGTTGTTTTCTGGCAGTGAGGACTTGCTGCTGGCCTGGCCCTGGCAGCCCTCCTGTTCCCCCGGCTGCCACATCCTGATCTGTGATAAAAAGGGCTCTGCTGCTGCCGTGAGCCCAGCACCAGGAACTTGCAGCAGCCCTGTCCGTGCAGGGAGTGCTATTTCTGGCTAATAGGATTCACCAGGGAGAGCTGTTTTGACTTCTGGCTCCCTCATCCCGTTCAGCCCTTCAGGACCAGCCCATAACTGAATGCTCCCCGTGGCAGTGAGTCCCCCAGAACACACAAAGCCCTTTGGGGAAGCTGCTGTTTTGCACAGCAGGGCTGAGCCTCATCTCACATCAGCTCGGTGTTGCTGTGACTGGCAGGGTTTTCACACCTCAGGGTTTCACACCTCGGGGTTTCACAGCCTCTCTGCGCTGCTGAAGCCACGGGATGGTCAGGCTGCAACAGGTCAAAACTGGGTCTGAAGAACCATCTGAACCTTTGCAGGTTGTCTGTTGGGCTGTAATTCTGCTAAGCCTTGACCAGAGGCATCAGAGAGCACAGCTGGGGCTGCCCACTCCTCCATTCACACACAGATGTGCTCCAGCAGGCATTTGTTTGGCTCCAGCAGGAATTCACAGCAAGTTTTCCCCCCCAGCCTTGTGGCTGGCCAGCCAGGGAAGGATGTATTTGCTGTTCTATAGGATTAGGGGTGGAGCAGTTGGGATTCAATCCCTGCCTGAGGTCCCCTGGATGTGTAAGCCAGGCTATTACTTGGCCTTCCCTTGGCAGGGTGTATTCCAGAGCATCTGCACAGTCACACCCACAGATTTCTTGCTGTCAAACCATTTTACAAGGAACATAAAAATTACTACAGCTGCTCTCTGGATGGAAGCTGAGGCTGCCACGCTCACAGCAAGTCTCTGGCAGAGGGAAGAAAAGAGCCTGTGTCCTAAATGTGCCTTTTAGTGCCCTTCAGGGAGCCTCAAGGGGTGTCCCTTCCCCTGTCCTTCAGCTGGAAGGTCCTTTCCTGCAGGAATCCCTGAGCAATCAGTCCCAGCCTGTGCTCAGCCCCTCTCCCTGCCTGCTCAGGGCTGGGGGTGCATCCTGCTGGAGAAGGAACAATGCTCCTTTTCTTTCCCAGGGCATCAGGGGATGTCTCAGTGCAGCTTGTTTTGACAGACCTTGGACTGTGTTTGGGTGTAGTGGAAACCATTGGATAATTCAGGGTGAATCATGTGCTCCAAAGCCCTGGCAGTTCACAGTCAGAGCTCCCCTGTGGCTCAGCTTTTTTGCCAGTATTTGCCTGTATTTTTGCCTGTGTGCTGGCACACAGACCCTGCCTGGGTGGGAAAAGGGCCTCAAATACCTGCTGAGCAGAACCCCTGCAGATCTGAGTGGTGCTGCTGGTCCAGGGTCTGGCATTTGCAGCACCAAGCTCTTTCACAACACGAAATTAATGAAATACCACTGTGTTTAGGCCCAGGTAGGAATGACTTCATCCTGTCCTGGAAGCTGGATGCCTCTGGAACGGAGCATGGCTGCTGTTGGCTTTACAAGAGGTGAAAATCCAGGTGGTAGAAATAATTTAGGGAGCTGGAATGGAACTGAGCCTGTTAATGGGTGTGAAACACGTGGAAAACTCTGCAGTCAGAAATTTCCCTGTCCTGCTGGGCAGCTGGGAATGAACAACTTCTGCTTTCAAGTAAGAGTTTTATGGAAGAGGAGCCCTGTGGGTGCTGCTGGTTGTCCTGGCATCACCCTGGTCATAACTGGGTGGGTGTTACTGTTGGCCCATCAGGAGCTGCCTCAACGCGTTGAACAGCCTGAATCACATTTAGGCAGCAATTTTTAGGGGGGGGGGGGGAAAGAAGAAACCTTCTGCTGGCTTTGAGAGCAGGGAGGAACGTTCTCTTTGCTCGTGAGTTTTTGTTCTCTTGCTTCTGCAAAGGCCTCCCCAAACAATGACAAAAATAATCACGGAACCGGAGGAACGGCGGGTGGAAAATTACAGCTCCCGTCTAATTAAGGTAATGCCAGAAAGCTTAGAAATCACACAAGGCCTTGGACAGCAATTAGGCTGCTGCAGACACTTGGTCCAGTGCTCTGAGCAGAGGGAACACTGACAGCCTTTCATCCTGGGACCAGCCCCGTGGCACGAGGGCTGTTCTTGCTGACCTGGTGAGACCTGGGGCTGGGCCACTGTCCCTGACAGAGGATAAAGGAGAAGCACAGATCCTGAGAAATGTTATTCCAGCAGGATTATTCCCCAGATTCGGTGATAAGGAGAGATTCAAGTTCATCACATCAATTTAGAGGAGTTATCTGTGTCCAGAGGCAGAGGGTGTTATAGGGCTAAAGAATGATGTTATCCAGGGACAAAGACTTGCCCAACATCAACAGGTGCAATACCTTAATCCCAGAGAGGTGAAAATGAACTTTATCCCCTGGCTGTGAATTGGGAGCACAGAGATGTTTGCTCCTGACCTCCAGGGCTGTGTTCCTGTAGCCAGGAGGGCTGAACCACTTCAGGGTGGTGCTCAGAGCAAGAGAGATCCAAAGTGGCAAGGTACAGGTAAATGTGGCTTTTTTTGGAACACAAAGCTGTGTTAATGTAAACAGGATTAAGGTTAACTCCCCCATAATCCTAATAATGTGTGTTCTGTATGGTAAACTTTACACTAGGCTGGTTTTCCTCTGGAAAATCCTGGTTTTGAGAGAAATGCCAGTGAGGAGCAGGGCATTGTGAGCCCTGGCAAGTGTGAGATCTGACTGAGCAGGAGGGCAGGCAGAAGTGGGCACAGCCTTGGCACAGGAGAGGAGGAACACTTTTGGGGTGTGTTATCCACCTCCTTGTTTGCTCCCAACCTTTTTTTTAAGGGCTCTGATTCCTTGAGCTGGAGCTGTGGCTGAGGATCCAGGCCCTGTGCTTGTGTTGAAGGTGTGACCCTCAGTGTCACCACCCAGCTGATGGGGAGGCCACAGAGGAGGGGGAAGCAAAAGCATTTTTGACTCTCCAGCTTAAAAACTGCCACTGGGGGTTCTGCTGAGCAGCTTGGGGGGGCTTTGTCCCCTCGTGCATTTAACAGCACTTTGCCACTTTTAGGTCACTAAACTTTTATGTCTCTTATTTTCTGGGGAAGTTCAGCCACGTGCTCGCCTCAGCTGCCAGAAGGGGCAGCTTGCTCCCTGGATTTTTTCAGCTCTGCAGCAATCCAAGCCTCTTGCTAAAGTCATTGGAGCTTCTAGGCTTTGGATGCAAAATTAGGAAATGCTGATCAGTCCAACTGTCTGAACTTCTGCAGGAAAATATTATGCTTTAATGGAAAAATCCCCAAACCAACCAACCAGAACAACAGAGTCAGTCTGGTAATGAAGTTTAAGTCTGCAGAGTCCCAGCAGTCACTGGTAGGAAATTACTTTGTACTGGTGACTTTCATATTCCATTGCCTCAAAAGCCTCCTTTTAATACCCCGAGTTTAAAATGTAAATGCCCTGGGATTTGGGAATGACTTTTTTTTTCTTATAATAACAACGACAACCTCTTCGTGCTTTTAAGAGACAGACACTAAAAGCTTGCCAAAAACGCTTCCTTATGAATGCATGAAGAATGCTCTGAGAAAAGGAGCAGAAAACAAGCTGCCTAGTGAAAGGGTCTTTTTTATTTTTTTCCTTTAAATGAGGCAGGAGTGTCTGAGTGGAAGGGCCATAAAGAATCCTACAAAACCTGCCGATTTTCCGTGGGCTGGGAGGGGCTGTGTCCTCGTGGGATTGGTGCCAGTTTGTGAAATGGTTTGGAAAAGCAGAAAACAAAAGACCTGTGCTGTCTGCTCCGGCAAACCTGCCTCAGGTCTGCCTCTTCTGCTGCCTTTTGCCCCCAAAGCCAGCAGGCTGCCCCCAGCCCGTGTCCCCTCCCAGCTCTGCAGCCCTGCTGAGTGAGCAGAACTCACTTGAACGCAGGTCCAGGCACCTTTCTGAGCCAGCAGAGCGAGCCATGGGGGATTAAAGCTGGATTTCCTATGTCAGGATAATTAAGAGTGAAGCTGTGACCAGATTGTGACTTTGATGGGCTGTAAAAGCATAAACTCTGGCGTTGCTGAGATAACGTGGAAGGGGGACTTAAAACCTGCTGCATCGGCACAATAATGGGAAGCTTAGTGAAAAGAGAGGTAATCCCATCAGTGGATCAGTTTGTTTACCCTCCATGTCCCACTCCAGCCCTGCCCAGAGGGATTTCAGTGTCACCAGCAGCCCTGCTGGCCGTGGAAGGGTCACAGAGGGTGGGGTGGAAAGGGAAAGGTCATTTCAATCCTCTCTCTGCCTCGTGGTCAGTTGTGCCAGATGGGTTTTTGTGCTGCCCAGGAACCTGAGTTGGCTTCCCTGGCAGCACCCAGAGCCCTGGGAAGGGGCACCCAGGGCACCCTCCTGGGAGTGCTGTGGAGGGAGGCTGCTGTCCCACCCAGGAGATCCGTCCTGGCAGAGTTGAGTGGGGGATTGCTCCTTGTTCCTGCACTGTGGGGTTTCTGCTTCCCTGGGAAGTGGGTGAGAACAGCCTGGCTGGGACAGCGAGTGCTGTGGGTGAGCAAAGTGCGGCACCACAGAGGAGGGGACGACACCCTCGAAGGACACAACAAGCTCTTCTCTCAGCTCAGGAGTCCTGTCCTGCTCTCTGCTTGCTCTCCCTGTCCTGGGGTGGGCTGAGCTGCCCCCCCAGCACGCAGTGATGTCACTCAGTGCCCAGCAGAGACCTTTGGTGTTCGTTCCCAAGGGCAGAAGCCCGAGGTCCCCGGAGATGAAAGGGAGAACTGAGGGCTGTGTGACTTGCCCTGAACCGGCCGTGACGTGCAGGCGTTTGTGCTTTCTATTTTCAGCACCAGCTCCAGGCATATGTGGCCTGGGTGAATTCCCAGCTGAAGAAGAAGCCAGCAGCAAAGCCAGTGCAGGACCTGAGACAGGATCTGCGGGATGGAGTCACCCTGGCTCTGCTCATTGAGATTGTGGGTCAGTGATGCCATCTGGCTCTGTTTTTCACCCTGCAGTTGTGGCTCTGGTGTGGAAGGGGCTGCCTTGACCCTGGCAGCTGTCAGGAACCCTGGCAGATGTTGCTGATGGTGTCAGAGCTTGAGGGGCTGGCGGGGAGGGACTCCCAAAGGAAGCAGATCATAAATGCAGTTCCATCCAAGCCCTCATGTTTTAGGGGCAGTTACAGCAGATGTGCTGAAACCTGTCAGGCAATATGAATTCCCACCTTAAAATAAACCCAGTACAGTCTCCAACCCCCTTATCCCTGGCACTGGGTGCCCTGTAAGCAGGACAAGAAGCCACATGTGCCTCTTGCAGTGCCCAGACAGGAGATCACATCAGTCCCTGCACCCACAGCTGCTCCTCTGATGGTACCAAGCGCTTCAGTTCCCCTCTGAAAAAGCTTTTTCCCCTCCTTTAGCTGGTGAGAAGCTCAGTGGCATTGAGGCCAACCCCACCAGCCAGCAGGAGATGAGGGACAATGTGGAGAAAGTCCTACAGTTTGTGGCATCCAAGAAGATCCGCATGCACCAGACATCAGCTAAAGGTACCTGGCCCTGGGGGTGGCACAGGGGGGTTGAGCTGCTGAGAGCCTCTTTCTGTCTTCGTTTTATACCAAACTGATAATGTATTAGTGGATTCACGTATTAGTTTGTGGGGGAGTTTTGGGGTTTTGTCCCCTGTGGTCCACTGGAGGTTTTGGGTTGGAGGACAGTGGTATCAGCACAGTGCACTGGAAAGAAAAAAAGTGCCTTTTGTCCTGCTGCTGAGCACTCAGAAGCTCAGATGTTGGTGCAATGAGGAATACAGACCAGGAATCTTTCACTACAAGGACATGTAAACCTGCTTTTCTATAGGAACATGTTTCTGGTTCACTGGGAGCCCAGGGCACTGCTCTGCACAGCCTGTAAATTAAGGAGGAGACCCAGTGCACAGTCACATGTCTGTGGCTGGGTTTGGTCAGGGCTCTGTGTACCTCAGTTGACTACACTGTTTTGGAAAACCTTAGTCTGGAAGAGTGGCTGAGCTCTGCCACGAGATCAGTGTGTGTGAGCTGGTCTGGAGGCTGGGGGAGTGCCATTAAAACAATTAACATTTGCAAGGCGCTGCCACCGAAGAAACACGCTGCTGCTCTCTGGTCCTGTGTGTTCTAAAGGAAGGAAGCCCTTGTGAGCTGGCAGAAGCCACTGCTGGGGCAGTGGCGAGGCTGCAGGACCCGCTGTGCTTCCCCAGGGAGCGCTCAGGAATTACGAGCTGGAAATGGCCACGCAGGGAGGGCTCGGAGCGTTAAACCTGTGCCGGGTGGGTGGCAGGGGCACTTTGCAGAGCTGAGCACCAGTGCTCCTGCAGGGTTTAGCGCTCGCCGGGGGCACCTCCCGACGCTGACCTCGGCTTTGCTTGCGTTTTTGCAGACATCGTCGACGGGAACCTGAAGTCCACCATGAGGCTGATCCTGGCCTTGGCCGCCCACTTCAAGCCGGGCTCCGGGAGGGCCGCGGGTGCCAGCGGGGCTGGCGTGGCGGGGAAGGGCTGGGCAGTGCCCACGGGCAGCCACAGGCCCCGCTCTGCCGCTGCCATGGCCCAGGGGGCAGTGGCTGCCCTGGCCGAGGTCCGGCAGGACGTGCTGCACTCCGGCCGGGACGTGTTCCGCCACAGGCACCGGTGAGGAGCTGCCCCCTGCTCCTGGGGGTGAACAGCTGCACACACACCCTTGGGAATGGATGTCCTGACAGCCCCTGGGGCAGGGCGGCCCCGCTGTGCAAGCTGGCACTGCTGTCCCGCACCCAAACGGTGCCCTGACCCGGTCTGGCCGCCTCGGGAGGCACCGCAGGGATCCCAGCTCTTCTCAGCTTTTACAGCAAAAGAACAGCTGGATCTCCTGTTGTCTCACCAGAAGAGAACAGTGAGTTCTGGCCAAGGCAGAGGGAACTGTGCTGCCTGGCTTTCCCACTGAGCACAATGCCCTTGGAGCTGTCTCTTTGGAGATATTCTCGTATTCTCCGGGAAAGTCTCAGCTCCAGGTGCTGCTCGGGGATCTGGGAGCAGTTACACCCCAACCTGAGGCTCTGAGAACTCTGTACAAGCCCATCCTGGCTTCTCACCCTGCTGTCCATCCCAGCGTTACCCCCACTGCTCCAGCTGGATTCAGGGTGTTGTGTGCCGAGCTCTGTTGATGCTGGAGGGAGATGATCCACCTACACAGGGAATGGGCAGTTCCATTCCACATTTAACCACCTGCAAAAGGTGCTGTTGTACGTTATTATGGTCATTATCATAATAATAATAGCAGTGACATTTAACTGGAAGCCAGAAGGTCTGTTGAGGGTTCAGTTTGCACAGCTGAAGGTCACCTGCTCATATGATACCGGCTCAAGGGAGAGCCCGTGAAGCAGTTTGGAAATGAGGTTGAAATGGGATATTTTGTTGCAAAACTAAATGTTAAAGGTTTATCTTGCAAAGGCCTTGGACCAGGAGCTCTTGAGCAAAGCCAGTCCTTGTGCTGCCTGCAAACTGCTCTTTGCCTTGCCTTCCCAGAGCTTGTGTGGTTTTTTAGTCACAGAATTTTGGGTGAGTTTAAAAGGGCAGGGCCTGTGTTCCCCTCGCACCCAGAAGATGGGATGGGGATCCCTGACAGGAGAACTGGTGTTTTTCCTGGCTGTCCCCTCCTTCTCCCCTTCCTTTCATCAGTTTTTCTACCTTCCCTCTTGGAGACAAGAAGAATTTCTGTTCCTGGCAGACAAGGCTTTCCTCACTGTGTGATTATTGCCTGCAGAAACAGCAGCATGGATGAGGAGATTGAAAATCCCTACTGGAGTGTCCGGGCACTGGTGCAGCAGTATGAGGGGCAGCAGAACGTGCCACACGAGTCCCACTCCTCCAGGTAAGGCATTTTATTGCCAAGAGGTGTCCTTTTGTGACATTCCCTAAAGTGCTGGTCCCTTATCGCCATCAGCTGGGTGTTCCTGATGGAAAGGGGCATTCCCAGAATTTTGTGTCTGCCCAGTCTGCAGGATGAAGCCTCAGGAACCAAGCTGGGGGCCACGTGAGGTGGTCTGCTGCCACTGTTTTCGTGGATATGGGAGAGAGAGTGGATGTGGGAGAGCTGAAATGGCTTTCAAAGAATAAACTACTCCTGTGGGGGAGCTGACCCAGCTTCAGAGCCAAGGAGAGCCCTTTTCCCCCAGAGAACAAGAAACTAAGACAAAGGGCTGTGTTACTGAACACTCTGGAGCTCCCTCTGGATATGGTGCTTTGCTCCATTCAATCCCATCTGGAGCAGATGTGAGGGCAGAGCTGCAGCTCTTTGGTTCACAGTTTCCTGTTCCCAGTGGAACCCAGCTCTGCTCTGCTGTCTCCTTCTCCTGCCTGGGTGTTCCCCTGGGTGTCTCAGCTATCCCCCCTCCGGTTTGTGTGGGAGCGAGGGGTTAATTTTCCAAGGACAGATTGCTTCTGAGGGCTCCTCAGCAGGCAGGATCTCCCCACAGGGTTTTCCAGGCTGGTTTTTATTCTCCACAGTAATAATTCTCTGTGTTACCTGGGAATTCAGGTTGCTTGGCCCAGCAGAGGAGAAAAACCACGAGAGTTTGCGTTTATGCCCTGAATTCGTTGTGTATCACTGAGGGCATGTATATAAATAGCCATTTGGAGGAGCGTGGGGCTCCCAGCGAGCCAGTACTGGACCAGTGCCTCCACATGATGTCAGCAGCGTGCTTTTGAGGCTGTTGTTCCAGGGGAGATGCAAAAATTCCGGGCTTGGCAACAGGATTTCGTGGCCAGTGTCACAGGACCTTGGCGTTGACTCTTGGACTGGGATCTCAGTGGGGCAGGGGTTGTCACTTGGTGCTCCCTCCCCATCCTGCAGTTTAAGGGGGCTGGGGTAAATGTTTTATCTGCTCTTCCACCCCCCTCAGGCATTGTCAGGCAGTGCTGTTGGCCCACGTGTGGCTGGGGTTTGGCTGCCAGTGAGGATTTCTCTGCACATCCTATAAATCACGGGGGTTTATTTTCCCCCCATCGCGTCACGAATTCTCTGCCCACCAGGCAGTGGTGATGTTACTGCTGATAAGACAGAATGCTGCAGGAATCCTGACAGAAGTGATCAGTGCTTACCCCAAAACTGGGAGCAGTGTTCCCTCCAGCTCCCAGGGATGTCTCTGCTGACACCAGGCTCTGCATGATGAAAACAAGATGCTTTCTGTTCCCTTCCAGGGAGAAATGCTCTAGTTTAGTTATGAGAGCTGGTTGAGAGAATCAAGATGGTCTTTGATTAGTGAGAGATGTGGTTATTAAGTGCAGCCACCCCCCCCCTCCATCTGATCCCAGGGCAGCTTCTTCCTGCATTAACTCCTCACTCGGAGACCTCCCAGCCTCAATAACAGAATTCCCAGAGACAAACCCTCCAATAAGCGAAGGCGATCGGAAATGATTCATGGAAAATTTGCCAAAATCAGATGATTCCCAGGCTGCCGAGTCCCTCACCCATCCACCTCCCTCTCCCCTCCCCTTCCCACCAGCATTCCCTCCCCCACCCCGAGCCGGGCTCGGAGAAAGGCTGATGCTCGCACAGCCCGTGTGACAGCGGGAGGGAGAGGAGCTGAGGCAGCGAGGAAGGGGAAGCCTTTCCTGAGGCTGGGAAGAGCTGCCTGCCCAGCCCGCAGCCAAGGCTGGGAAGCGCCGGGAACCCACGGGCTGGCGGGAGCCCCTTCCCCCGGGCGGGACCCGCGGGAGATGCTCGGAGGCTGGAGAGGGCAGGATGGGCTGAGAAACACCCCCGGCAGCCCCGGGGAGGAAAACGAGCGGCTGTGCGGCTGAGCGAGATGCAGCGGCGAGGGAGGGAGAATAACAAGCCGAGAGGCAGAGCAGCGGGAGCCAAGCCCAGGCTGCAGAATCCCCTGACTCCGGAATCACACCCGCTCGTGGGGGCTGCGGATCTGCCGTTCCTGCCGAGACCCTGAGGGTTTTTTTTCCCTTTTGGTGGTTTTCCTTTTTTTTTTTGGTTCCTGCCGCGATTTTTTCCAGCGTTCTGGCTCGCAGACCTTTCTCCAGTAGTTTGACAGGAGCTGGCGTCCTCCCCCCTCCTCCCCAGCACTGGATCAGGGACAAGGCATGCCTGCATCCAGCATCCTGAGGCTCCCGGGGAAACGGATCCTGTGAGGCGAGAGGTTAAAGTGGGATCATGGGAGGGAAGCAGGTCAAATGGTGAGCGATTGTGGCCCTTGTGGTTTGGAACAGCGGGGATGGGGCGTTTATTTAGGGGTGAGAACTCGGGGCCGGTGCCCTCCAGCCTTGGCCGTGCAGGCACCGGCAGCTCCGGGGCCCGGGGGAGAAGGGATGTGGGTTAAGGGGCCAGGTGGTAAAAGGAATAAAGTGGAACAGTTTGCATCGTGAATGTGTCTTGAACAGCTTTAACTTCCCAGCAGTTATTTCTGTGTGCTCTCCTGTGAATGGTTGTGTACTTTAAAGAGCGAGTTACAGCAGGGGGTGTTTTGTTCTTTGGTGGGTTTGACTGGCACAAAACCTGTGTGTTTCCAGAATTAACTTGGTGAGGGGATGGGGCAGCCTGACCTGTGCTGCTGCTTCACCTGCCGCTGGTTCTGTCGCTGCTTGGCACGTTTGGGGGCTTATTGATGCCATCTGAGCATCCCTTTAAAATAGGAAAACTGCCTGGAAAAGGGGCTGTGGACATGGGAGTGTAAAACCGTGTTGTGCAGACCCGTGGGGACTGCTTAACCCACCTGGGGTGCCTTACATTGGCTCTGGAATGTGGATCCACTGCCAAGAGAGGCAGATTTGGAAGAGGAGAATGCTGTTTCCAGGCTCACATCCCCTCGTTTCTCATCCTCTCTAGTTCCCTGCCCTCGCCCACCCCTGTGTCAGCACCTTCTCCCCCAACAGTTGCTGGTGGTGTTTTTCTAGGGCAGCTCATCCTTTCGTCTTTTTTTGCACGGCTGAGAACCAGCAGAGCCATATCGGGGTGAGGGCACTGGAGCATCAGCTGAGAATATTGGAGGGGGAATTTTGAGATCTGTTCCTCGAAGGAGGTGAAATCCAATCCCTCCTGGAGTTCCTGGCCCTGTTGGATCAGCTGGGCTTCCTGCCTGCACTTGTGCTGTGTGAATGCTCCATCCTCTCCTCTGAGCCTCATTACATAATGCAAACCCCACAGAACTGCCTGGGCTTCCAGACAAGATAAAAAAGCCCCACAGTTTAAACCCCGTAATTTTATGCTGTGCCCCCCGTTCAGCAAGGAGCAGGAGCAGGGAGCTGGTTACAGATGTTGTATAAGGAAATATGCCTGGTGAGGGACTGCTGTGATGGAGTTAAAATTCCTGAAGGTAAAGCCAGGTGACCTGGACCCCTTTAACAGTCCTGCACCCACCTGAAAGGACAGGTACTGCAGCTCTTGGAGATTTCCAGGAAAAGAGGATTATTCTTTTCCTTGCACTCCTCTTCCCTTTAACGTGGGGGGCCCAGGAAAAGCAGGCTGCAGGTCTGTAATATAAATGAGGAGGAGGCTCCCCTGGCCGTGGGAGTGGGGCAGGCAGGAGCAGCAAGTCATTTCCATCTCTATTGCAGGGCTTTTCTCCTCCTGTGGGAGCTGTGGGACACGCAGCAGCAGTGCTGGGAGGATGCAGACAGGCGAGCTGCTGAAGCCTCTTTATTTTTTCTAAAACCTATTCTATTATTTCCACAGTGTTTTCTTTTTGTTCTCCTGCCCTTTTGTTTCTGTGTTGGGGTGGTGGTGGGGGGGGGGTGGTGAAAAATTAACTCCTGCTCACACTCACAAGGATTAATTCCCCCAACTTTCGAGGTACATTGAATGGGTCACTGAGCTTCAGCCACCTTTTGGTGTTGTCTGGGTGATGCACTTGGGAAGAATTTCTGGAGGGGAAAAAAAAAAAAAAAAGATTGCTTGACCCCTGGCAGTCAGCTGAGATGGCTCCAGTGAAAATATGTGGGTACTTTGAAGTAGTTTTAATCTAAGAACACGAGTCAGTGGGATCTGACTCTGAGAAATACTTTGCCCTTGGGATTTCGAGTTGAAGTGATGCTTCTGGAAGCTGGAGCAAGAGAGGAAGCAAACCAGGGTGGCTTTTTGGTCAGCTTGTGGTGTGTGCAGTAAATTTATTTCTGAGTGAGTGTCTGGATTCTGTGGTGTCAGCCTCAAACTCACATCCTGTTAAGGAAAATGAAGGGACACACTGTGGTTGTCACTTGGCTTGCTGTGGCACTGGCATGAAAAAAAACGTTACATGGCCACTTTGGTTTGTGAAAGGCCTCTCCAGGGTGCAGATCACTGTGAGATGAGGGTGGTGCTGACCAGCACTAAAGCAGCTGTTCCTCCTCTCCCCTGCAGCCTCACATCACCCAGCCCCGTCCACAGTGCAAAGAGTGAATCCACTGTAGCCCCGTCAGAGGAGAAGGAGAGGCTTGTGATCCTCCAGGTTGAAGAAACAGAAACTAAAACAGGTACCTTGCAGATAAAGCTTTGCTGGGGCTTGTCTGGGTGATAAAGTTGCTGGGAAGTTCCCCGGGGACTGAAATGGTTTGGGGTTGCCTGCACTGACACTGGGATGTTGGTGCTTTTCTGCCACACGTTGTTCCCCTGCCCTGTGCTTTGAAATCTCCAGGAACCAGGTGCAGAGTTACCTGGGATATGTGTGTGTGCAGCAAAGTTTACTTTGCAGTGAGAATGGGGCATAAATCCTTGAGATCAGGCACCTGCAGCATCTCCCTTTGCTCATCTCCTGGGCTCACCTGTCTGCCGTGGCCACATCCATCTCTCTCTTCCAGAGGAGACTGATTCCCATCTCCAGCCTGAGTGGCAAGCAGGGAACTCTGGCTCTTACCTGGAGAACTCATGGGAGGAGCAGCTTTTGGAACAACAGGACCACTTGGAAAAGGAGATGGAGGAAGCAAAAAAAATGATTTCGGGCTTGCAGGTAATGGATTTTCTTCCCAGCCAGTGTTCCCTTGCAGGGAGGGAGAGGGAAGGGTGTGCAGAGAGGAAGGTTCCATTGCTGTGAAGACTGAAAATCGGTGATATTAATGAACAGTGATTGAGGTGGGCTGGGGGAGGGCAGAGGGCACTGAGTGCAGGTCAGAGTGGGAGCACTGCAGGGAGCCTAAAGCAGAGCCTGTGTTTGGAAGGTGGCTGTGCCTGGCTTTTGGGTTCCCTGTCCCGTGGGGCTGTGCTGGCCCTGTGTGTGCTGTCAGTGCTGCTGGGGCTGTGCAGGGGGCTGGAGATGCCCCAGTGTTTGTTTTCCCACGTGCTGGGGAGCTTTGTTAGAGCCCGAGAGAGCGGGGCAGCCCCCTGTGATTTGTGATCAGAAGTAATGCAGGGAGACAAGGGATGGCAGGAAATCAATCAAGATTCCCAGGGCTGATCAGGGGTCACGGTCCTGCATCATTCTCCCCACGAACGAGGCTGAACTATCATATTTGGCACATTCTCCACACAACTGTTTATCTGTGCGACCCTTTGCAGTCCCTCCCTGACCCTCAGCCCAGTGTGTTTGACTCCAAGCCCCTGATCCATATGGCAAAGACACTGAACTCTCTCAGGAATATCCCCTTCTATTCGTGCTGGGAGCCCCAGTGGCTCTGGATTGTAAATATTTATGTGCCAGTAAACAAAGCAGAGCCTGTGTGAGAAGCTCAGGCAGCTGGGCGGGCACTTTGCTCGGGGACAATGGGCAGGACACAAAAGAACTTCCCCCCCCCCCCCCAAAAAAAAAAAACAAACAACCAAACAAAAAACCCCAAAACATTCCTTGGTTCCCTGGTAAAATCTGGTTGCATTGTGTGCCCACTGGCATGGCCTTTTCTCCAGCCCTGGGTGTTCCACAGGGAGGGTGAGCAGCTGGCACTGGGAGCAGGGACAGGCAGTTGATGTCACCAGCCAAGAAATGGCATTTGATTCATCCATTTTCCTCCTCTTACTCAATACTCAAGAGTCTCCAGTTTGAGAGAGTTTTGACTGAAGTATCGGGGGTCTGACGTGGTGCTGAAACTGAGACAGACTTTCAGTGCCTGGCAACCTGAATCTGAGCTGCCCTTGTTTGGTGTCTTCCTGTGGGGAAGAGAAGTGGCTGGGAGACCTCTGGGAGAGCTTTCTCAGGGGGTAAACCTTCTTGTTCCTTCCTGAAAAAAAAAACTGTGCTCATTTCTGAGGGGGAATAAGTCAGCAGAAGTGGAAAATGAAGCTGTTTAGAGACTGATAGGAATGACTCTTGGCCAGAGCTGCAGCTCAATCATTTTTTCCTTTGAAACCTCTGAAGAGGAGAATTTTTTTTTTCTTTCTTTCCCCTTTATTTTCCCAGGCTTTGTTGCTCAATGGCTCTTTACCTGAGGACGAGCAGGAAGGGTCCTTTGAGCTTTGTGAACGTGGGGCCTGCCCTGAAGAGCAGCTGGTGAGCACATTTCTGTACCTAAAGCTCCCATCCAGCTGCGCTGCCAGCAACAATAACGGGGATGTTTTGCCTCCAGATCATAATCCGAAGTCGCCTGGACCAGAGTGTGGAAGAAAACCAAGACCTAAAGGTTGGAGGGACAACAGGTGGAGGGGCAGAGAGGTTTTGGGCCAAGAGATCTTTGCAGACTGTCCTGTTTGATGTTTTTTTGGGGGGAAGGAGGGGGAATGGGATGATGATAGAGCAGAGTGGACAACCTGATGGATGATGTAGGGGATATATTATGTTAGAGCTCTGGGACCGTGTCTGATGCTGGGAGAAGGATTCGGTCTTGCCCTGAAGGACAGATCTGGGGGGACTAGGCAATCATTTTTTTTTCTCAGAACTTTATTGGCAGGGGCTAAGGGAGCTGCTCAGCTATTTGTCACGTTTGTAACTCATTAAAACTGCTCTTGGATCTGTGGGAAAAGGTGGGATGTGCTTTATTTTTTCAGCAGCAGGTGTCTGAAGACACTGGGGGGACGCTGGCTTTGGGGTGACAAGATGCCATTTAATCAAATTGTGTTGCATTTTGCAGAAGGAGCTACTGAAATACAAACAAGAAGCTCGAAACCTGCAGGGGATAAAGGTGAGGAAAGGGGACACTTCAAATATGACTGGCAGAGCATTAGTGTCTCCTGCAGCCCATGAGTGGGGCCAGCAGCAGCCATCCACCTCTGAGGAGTCCCAGTGGGGAGGGAGGTGTGTTGGGGGGCTTGGAATCGGGGGATCCTGGGGTTTGTTTCTGGCCCAAGGCAGGAACAAGCAGTTGGGTTTCCTGGTTTCTGTTCTGTCTGTAGCACTGTGCTCAAATTTCCACTCTTTTTCTTCCTGTTTCTCTTAAACAAAATATGAGATCTGCCTGGTTTTCTAAGCTCTTTTTCCCCCTTCCCCTGGTGCCTTGGGGTGCACACAGCAGCACTGCCCCAGTGAACTCCTTCTTGACAGCCGAGGAAAAAGAGCCCGGGGAATCCTTGCCCTCCTCAGAAACTGTTCAGTTCCTCCCTCTGGAGTTGTGAACGCTGATAATCTACTCCTGAGCCAGAGGTATTTTTAGAGCAGCCTGTCATGCTGCTGGGAGGGAGCAAACAGCAGTAGCTGTCCAAGGTGGAGCTCTCGGGCCCTGAGTGAAAGGTGCAGAATTAGTCCTGACTTTGGCCCCTCCGGAGAGGATTTCACTGCACAACTAGGTCACACTGAGAGCTTAAGTGTCCTCGTGTCCTGGGCTGACATTGGCCTCCCTGTGCCCTCTGGGTGCTGCAGAGGTGTGGCTGGATCAGGAGCTGAGGGCGCTGAGCACCCTCCAAAGGCACAGCTGCCTCCTTCCACGGGAGCCACTGCTGGAGTGGGAAGTGCAGGTTGAAGCACAGAAATCCCTCTGTCCTAACAGCTGGGATGTTGGCAGGGCAGGCACTCTGGGGCAAGAGGGTGCTGTCTGTGCACCCCCTGTTCTCCTGCAGCCCTGGGTGGCCCCACTGTGTTATGGCCACTGTCCTGGGTCACTCCCTCCTCAGGGCAGGGTCTCTCCCCTCCCTGCACCTTCCCACAGAGGACATCTTTCCCCAGGATGCCCTCCAGCAGAGGCTGATCCAGCAGGATGCTTCAGTCCTGCAGCTGAAGCAGGAGCTGCTGAGAGCAAACATGGACAAGGAGGAGCTGCACAACCAGAACGTGAGTCACTGCTTGAGGTTATTTTAGGAGGAGGTTTGGTGGCCCTGAGGGCTCCAGCAGCCACAGGGCTGAGCTCCTGGGGTGGTGGGACAGTGCAGTCAAAGGTCTGTGCAGAGCACAAACTGCACACACTGCTCTGGCCAGCAGGGAGGATGGAGATCCCTCTTCACTCCCACTTCCTGACCTCCCAGACCTTCAGCTGAAACAGGGAGGGGCTTTCCCCCATGTTCTCAGTGCAGTTACATTTCTCCTTGGGCGAGCAGGTGGCATTTTGGCAGGCCATGGGCAGTGTCTGGAGGGAGGAGGACACGGGAGGGACTGCCCTGTCCAAGTGTTGCCACACCAGCTCCCTTGAACTCTGCAGATGTTTGGTCACCCTGTGGCACAAGGGGCAGGGATGACCAGTTTGGGAATGCCTGTCTCACACCTGTGTGTGTTACTCCTGCAGGTTGATCTTCAGAGGAAGCTGGAGGAGAGAAACCGGCTGCTGGCAGAGTACAAAGTAATGGAACCTCTTCCCTGGGGGCTTTGGGGGCAGCATCTGGTGGCTCTTTGGTTTTGGGCGCTTTTTTATTTTATTTTTGTGTCACCTCTGGGAATGGCACTGCAACTTATTCCTTATCCACAGCAGTCATGGATGAGTATTTGTGAGGATGGTGGAGGGATGGGATGTTCTGTGTTCTGCCTACAGGTTTTTATAGTATATTTTTTTTTTTTCTGTGATTGCTTGATAAGTGCCTGCCACTTGTGCAGAAGCCTGTCAGGTTAGGCTGAGCCACCTGGTTGTCAGCTGATCCCTCAGGAACCTGTTTTCTCTGGGAGAGCGCTGTCTGGTCCTGGCAGGGGGACTCTGGGCAATAACAACCCCCCAAAAAAAACCCAAACTCTGGCACTCAGCTCTCAGATGTGGCTGGGAGGACACACACTGTGCAGGGCACCATGCAGGTGCCACAATCCCCTGCCCTGGGGAGGTGGCTGTGAGCTTCACTCACGTGGATTCCCCTGACTCCTGTGTTGCAGAAGGAGCTGTGCCAGAAGGACCGGCACCTGCAGCAGCACCAGACCAAGC